CCCCCCCCCCCCCCAGGTGCATCGATATGTCACTCTTGCCATCCCAGAACCTTCCTCTCACTTCGCGGCGAGCGAATCGGAAGATGACGAGGACGACGACTGCAACGATAGTCACGATGATAATACTAGCTCGGACGAAGAGGACGACAATGCCGGCGGAAGGTTTTGCTCCGTCCGGCCCACTGGTGAGCGCCCGGCACCCGATAGGATCAAATGGCAGATGGGAGCACCGTTCGTTTGTTCGTTTGTTCGTGTGTGTGTGCGTGCCTTCATCCCAACGGTGTTGTACGTCGGTTTCACACTTCGAGGCGTTTCGGACGGACCCACAAAAGGGGCCTCACAGAAACCAAAGTCGACGCAAGAGAGAAATGAGCGTAGGAGTGTGCATTTTGTTTTTAGCTTTCGTCAAACACCCTCAGTACGAACGACCCGCCACATTTTCTCGAACACCCCCTCCCCCATTATTTTTCTCATTAGCTGCGGGCACCAGCTCTGGCGCTAGTGTTGTGGTCGCACCTTCCGATGGCGGCGCCGGGCGCGTGGGGCCTGGATCCAATTCCACGGGTCTCCGGCGAGAAGTTGCGCTTACGAGCGATGCAAGGCAGGGCCTTGGCAGGCAAGGAGGCGGTGGCGGGCGCGATTGGGACGGTATCGGTAGCGGGGCCCCTTCGGACACCGGTGCTGCTGCCGGGGGGGTAGGTAGTGCCGCTGCTGCTGGCGTCGGCCGCCCGGCTGCTTGCGTTTGCGGCGACGCTACAAATGCGGCTGCGGCTGCGGCTGCTAAGTACGGCGCCGCTGCCGCCGCCGCAGCAGCCGCCGCCGCCGCCGCCGCCGCTAGCGCTGCTGCAAGCGTTTCTTACCCTTCGCCGGCAGAAAGAACCGGCGGCGGCGGCGGTGGCGGCATCATCTCCACCACCCCGTCTTCGTCCACGGCCGGCGCCGCGCCCGCAGAAAGGAGGGGTACCGGGGGCGCATCCCAGCCCGCAGGGGGGCTTATCACCGGGGTTCGCACGGCGGTAGGTGAGGTCGGAGGCGGCGGGGGCAGAGGGAGCGTCGGAGGGGCGTCCCACGGATCGGTGGTCGGGTACGCGGTCGACGCGGCGGGCAACACCTTGGTGGAGGCGCCGACGCTGGAGCCTTTCGAAGGTGAGGGGGCGCGTACTCGCTCGTGTTTCGCGTGTGCCGATAGACCGTTGACCACGCGTGCTCGAGAGACGCTGGAACATTGTTCCCCACGGGACCGATCACGAGCTACCTTTGCCAAAGGTTTCTCAAAAAGAGCGTTTCCTTTGCCAAAGGTTTCTCAAAAAGAGCGTTTCCCGCCGCCCTGCCTATCGAGAGGGGGGAGATTTTTCCTCGTTTCTTGCGCCGCGACAGCACGGCAACAAGACGATAAAGGCGGCGTTCGACATGTCCGCGGCATGGCCTGCCCTCGAGTCTACCCTCCTTCCTTGGGTTTGTTGTTCTCGAACAGCAGTGAGACCTCCTCCCCTGGGTGTGCCCCCTGGGTGTGGCGGCCGCTTTGGAGTGGGACTCTGGGTGGTTGCAGACCCGGCAATCAGCCGGGTTCGATGACAGCGGGAGTACTTGTAGCACCGAAAATCCGAGCAATAGCAGGGTGCGTCCCCTCACCCCCCCCTCCCC